AAAAAAAAAAAAAAAAAAAAAAAATTTTATTTTTACATATGTTACTGATTCAATTTAGTTACAATTTTAACAGTTATAGTTTACATGATTTTAAATATTATTGTCAAATTCAACATAAACTATTTGGAATTATAATTAGTTACAAAGATTAAACTCATTATTTATTTTATACTTTTAAATACAGTAAGAAGTAAAAGATTGACATAAAGGATAGTTAAAATTTAATAAAGGATCTGTCTGTTGAATTAGATGAAATAAGCACGATGTTGAATTAGATGAAATAAGCACGATGTTGAATTAGATGAAATAAGCACGATGTTGAATTAAATTAAAAAAATAAGTGAAGATAACAGAATTAATACTTTTATTTCTATAGTTTCAGTTATATATTTTGAATTTTATTAAATATTTTATTGCGATAATTTAAAACATTAGTACAAATTGCTTTTTTTGTCTTTCTTCTTTCCTGTTAATTAACGAAATAAATTAATGATCAAAGTATTTAGTGGAGTATGAGTTATTTTGTATTCTTTGTCTATATTTGAGATGTAAAAAAAAGAAAACAAATATAATTTTTAAAAGGTTTTTTTATTTTCACGTTCGTTATAAATAACGTATCGCACACACTCACTCATTCTCGTAACAGTGGATCTACCACTGGTATTTTTTTTTTTTTTTAAATTTATGATAACCGAAATAGCTCGATGCAATGGAGCTATATTTATGTTTTTAAAGAATCTAAAATCAACAACTGATGCACTAACACTGCAACAATTTTTACATGTTTTATTAGCCCTATTTATTTTCTATTTCATATACTAAGAACAATTATATTTAACAAATTTCTGCCGGTAAAACGATTTTTAATAACCACACGATGTTCTTTCATCGGTACAAGAACAATAAAGATACTTATTATGATTGAATCATATTCTAAAATTTTTGATATTTTTTTTGGCAGTGTCTGTTCAATTTACGGTATTTGAAATGTTCACTATTTTCAGTGAATATCTTGATGATTTACTAACTTTTATTACAATGAATTTATCATTTTTATTTCTAAAATTGTCGCCATTTAAGTTAAACATAAAGCGACAAATATATTTACAATTTATCTTACCTATTGTTAATGCGTATATTAGGGTTTTTTTTAAAAGGGCATGGCAGTTAAAATTATGTATATCGGATGAATTCATATTTTTCGTACTTTGTTTTATATCGCAAAATCCTTATCTCATTTTTATGAAATTTGTTTTTAACAGAAAATACATAGACGGAAATATTATTAATAAGTGTAAAAGAAAATTTTTAAATATAATAAACTGCGAAACCTCTTCTTAAAAAGTTTACATTCGTTACATGAGGCGATTATTTATTGTTCCAATATTTAATCTCTCGTCTTTCTAAGAAGGCACAACAATTAAAACGATTGGTTTAAAGTCATATTACAATGAATTTGAAAAGAGGTCCGAAAAGATTATACTTTTCTGTGTATTAATATCTTTAATATGATAAAAAACGGTCAGTTTTTTATTTTATTTTTGAGGTCATGATAATGGTGTGACACGAACTTAGAAGGTTTCAATGATCTTGATTTTTGATAAATAAAGATGTTTAAGCTCTAACGCATCTCATCAGAAGCTCGGAACTTAAAGACTTGGGCCTTTCAATTGGGAAACCGAGACCACGAGCCCAAACAAGGGACGATAAGACACCAAGGGCACGAGATACTCCGAAAAGAACGGTGTAATAATTCATTTCTTTCATTCCATAGTACTGCAACAGAACTCCTGAATGGGCATCTACATTTGGCCATGGATTCTTTACTTTACCAGTTTCCAAAAGAATGGGAGGAACTACTTTATATACTTGAGAAACGAGCTAAAAATATACGAACATCAACATTAATTAAAAGAAAATTTCTATTTAGATTATGATGAAAATAAAATTAATTTGATATAAATCATATAGAGGACTGTACTACCTTGAATAATTTGTCATCTGGTAAGTGTTTCAACGCGAATTCTCTCTGGCATGTATACCTAGGATCAGTTTTTCTGAGTACAGCATGTCCATATCCAGGAACGACTTGTCCGCTCTTCAGTGTGTTCCAAATAAAGTCCTTCATTTTTTCGTCACTAGGGCTGTCTCCAAGCTCACCGCGCAGCTTTTCTAACCATATCAACACTTCTTGATTTGCAAGGCCATGAAGAGGGCCAGCTAGACCATTCATACCAGCCGCGAAGGACAAATAAGCGTCGGACAATGCAGAACCTACTAAGTGAGTAGTGTGTGCAGATACGTTTCCACCTTCGTGGTCAGAGTGTATCGTTAGGTATAAGCGCATCAGTTCGATGAATTGTGGGTTATCGTATCCAAGCATGGTTGAGAAATTCCAAGACCAATCTTTGCACGGATCAACGGATCCTACGCCTTTACCACCCTTGTAAATATTTCTGTATATCGTAGCTGCGACTACAGGTAATTTGGCAATCAGATTCATTGTATCTTCGTAAGTGCTTTCCCAATATTTTCCTTTGTGTACACCTTTCGTGTATGCTTTAACGAATTCACTCTCGCTGTTTAAAAGAGTGATGGCGGCGGAGAATTGTGTCATGGGATGCAAAGTTTTCGGGAAATTGTTCAGGGCTTTAGTTACATGCTCAGGTAATGCACTTCTGCACGCCCATTCTTGAGAAATTGCTTGTACTTGTTCTTTCGTAGGAACATCGCCGGTAATCAAAAGCCAGAACAAACCTTCCGGAAGCGGTTCATCACCACCTTCAGCTTTGGGTAAAATTTTCTGACATTCTGGAATTGATTTTCCTCTGAACCTAATACCTTCCTCAGGATCCAGAACTGATGGTTCCCATATAAGTCCTTTAATTCCACGCATGCCACCATACATCTAAAAAGGAATAAAAGGTCAAGTTATCATGTGATATCAAACACAAGTTGAAAAAAGAAAGAGGGAAACGAGTTCATTGACATTGATCTATGATGTAACGACTACGAGAGATGCACTTTGAACTCGTTTGAATGTTACTTTTACATTTATCATGATTTAATGCTACATATAAATGAAGTATAAAAAAAAATATATTCAAACGTTTAATATAACGTTGCATAACTTCTTACTCAATTAGATGTCATTAAATACAAAGAGCTTTATCGTCTTCAGAAAATCGCTAGAAATGTGATAGCCAGGGAATAAAGTTCATCAGCTGTTGATATAAAAATTAAGACTTTCTGGTATACGTTCATTAGGCGGCCAAAATTTTTCCGACAACCTAAAAGTCTGCCTATATCGTGATCACATGATAAGCACGCGACATTTATTTATGCCATAATGTATATCATTCATCCGTGACATTTATCGGTATTATAAAAAATAACTAATATTCTCTTACACGTGGTGTAAAATGTTGCGATCTTTGTCGCGTCATCGGTTTTCCAGAAAATTGTTACTATACCCGACAATTTATTAGTAGAGAAACGTTTAAACTGGAAAAAAAAATACGATGCAGTCGAAATTGCGTAACGGTTAAGTGCGTACCATGTCTACTGTGACCTCTCCCACTTTCGTGGATCCAAATTGTTTACGGAACTCCTTGATCCGTTCCTGTTCCTTCGGTAATTTCTCAGCCAGAATCTTCTTTAAATCGGTGGAGGCATCACTCAATGATCTCACAAATACGGTCGATGTTATTTTCTGTAAAAATAAGGAGAAGGTTAATTTACAATTATCTCATATATTTCTTAAAGTCTATTAGTTGCAAGTATCTACATATTGTGGAAACAATTCAGCTTATCGTTGTCTTTAATGTATATAAAAATCTAATTAACAGTAAGGTTTGAGGCCTCGACAAGTTCTTACATATAGAAATTAAATTTTGAAGATATTCTTTGCCCTTATACATGGGTACATAAATTAATAAGAAAATGTAATCAGCGAATTTAAAGAAACAATTATATCTTTCGATTAATGAAACTATTCCTATTTTCTATTTAAACACAATTCGATAAACGTAATTAAATTCTCATTATGTGTAAAACTTGAAATACCAATGTTACCAATTTTAACGAGCAATCATAAATGATTGTTGGATTACGTAAAAACGACATTCGTGACATCACGTTAAACAGTTACATATATATCGGTTCTCATAATCCACAAAGACGAGCTTTTTCCTTCTGACTGATCAATTTCTGCTTCTATTCTCTTGTTTCGTGCGAGAACGTTTTTGTTTTCCGCAAGACGGTTATATCGATAAGTCGGTTAGTCGATAACCAAACTGAAATTAGTCGCTCGTGTTCCGGCGTGACAAGAAGTTATTTCAGAAACGCGCGTGAAACGATTACGTCATATCATACGAGTTTACCTTTTTTTTTTTTCCTTACACGTATTTTTAGCCTTATACATTTTTTATACGATTCTATCGTTTGACGTACGCAGTCGAACACGGCGATTCATTATCCGCAGGGTGGCGCAGAAATCTCTAGATAACGGTAAATACAGACTAAAAGCTCGGAGAGCAAACATCGATTCACGACCGCATTTTGCAACGTGAATGAGAAATTAGGTCGAGGAGAAATCAGAATGGGAAGGTAAAGCGGAAAACCCGGCTAGGATTTCTGGATTTTGAGTCCAAAAACACGACAGATGGAGTCACTATTTCATACCTGTCTCGCCCTCTATGTTCACGGTACGAAAAGAAACTTTTCAAATTCCATTGCATCTTTATTACTACGTTTATATTATAATTATTTAATAAACATATCAGCAGTGAATGAAAGTTAAGATCTCACCGAAATAAATAAAATAAAATGTAAGTAAGATGAAACGGATATCCTTTAAATCGAAATAATTCGTGTCACTAATTTATAATTTTTTCATAATTCGTTACAGTAAATGTTCATTATGATATATATGTATAACAATTTACCGATTAAATGGCCCAGTTCGTGTCAGTAATTACTGTCGAATTGATCACGATACAATGGAAAATGGGTCTCTGAAAGTTACGAGAGTAATTAGGTCAACTTTTTCGAACTAAAACCTCTGCAAGACATAACCTCTCGTTAAGAAATGGCGCGATGAACGATCGCATTATTGAAAAACTTTTCGATCGAAGGATCCATTTAACTATATTCATCCTTTTCATTGGTGATATCCTCTGCTAGGTATTCTCTAGATTGGCGTTATTTCTACTAAGTATAACGACATATGGTCATACCGCACTGCGGACCAAATCATCTCTAATGTACGATATACCGTTGAATGCGAATTGTCGGTGACCTCGCCCTTTCTATTGAATTTGTCATTCATCTTACGAGTTCACTGCACATCACAACTCTCCACATGTATATCGAGGTGTGCATACCATTCAATTATATACATGTAATATTTTGTCATCCAATGAAAATGGCAACTTGAAAGTGCCGTTTAATTATAACACGAAAGTTTAACTTGTTACATAACAGTACGAGCTAAAAATTTCGTTTGTGAAAGCACAGGCAGACAGGCAGCCACAAGAAACGTACACGAATGGATATAACATTTCGCAAAGGATTCATTCTAAAATGGTCACAGATACACGACTGGGTTATGAAAGAGGGTTTTGTATCATTGAGAATGACTGGCGTTAGCGTTATATTTTCGGATTACATTGTACACTCTTTTTCGGTCAGCATATTGTATTTATGAATGTAAAGGTTCACCTAGATCGTTATTAAACATATACAGAACGTTGTATTTGGATAATGGCCAGAGTTGCGAGTGGTCGATGACTAAAAATAAATAGTTTCACGTGTTGTATAATTCGACTTACGCTACATAATGCACACGTGATAAGAAAATCGGATATAAAAACGTGTCCTTTGCAACACGGTGATATTCAAGGTTACAGAAGCAATGACGTGCATTTCACTGGGATATATGAAGTTCAAAGTCGTGGATGACATGTCACAATCTGATACTCGAGATGACTTAGAGGTCAGTTTAGCGAATGGTTCAAGGACATGTACTTGATCTACAAGTATTGGAATATCTATAGCAAAATTGCAAGAACATGAAGCTTTGATTAATTGTTTTCATAATTATGTGGATGAATTGTCACGTTTCCTACAAGACCAACTATTATTCTCATACATATAAACGAGGTGTAAACTGGATGTTAAAGATGAAGCAAACCACACTTGAATTAACCACATTTTAACTCTAAAGAATATCAAATATTTTACGGACAATTTAATTGTTTCTTTACGATTTATAATCTATAACAGTATAATTACTATTTATATATCTATAATAATATACACATAATATTGTACAGGTATTATCACGTAACGAAAACAAGGCAAGTAAGTACCGTGCGTTATGGATTGACGCGTTCGCACCAAGAATTTATTGCTCCAACTGTAAGTAACAATATACTTAGGCTGTAACGCAAGACGAATATCAGGTGGTAACCACAACGATGTAACGAAATACTAATTGAACAGATTGACAGTGACTTTTATTTCCGTCATGCGTATCGTTGCAATCAAATCAAGAACTTAACCCACGCCGATCCAATTGCTTTGCCATCGGTCAGCTCCTCAAATCGAATTAGTATTCAAATTTCAAGATAAATATCAATTCTAGCCGTTCATATGTTTTACAGCATTCGAGAAGCATGGAGAAATTTGCAGTTGAAGAGAGAATGTTTTGTTATAAACTTCTGTGAAAAGATGAAAGGATAGATCCGAGCAAATGCTGTTTTCTCAGTAAAAGGTTTAATGCGGCAGCTAAACGCTGGGTCTCGAGTATCGATGAAGAACATGCAAGAAATGCTGGACCTCGACTAGAATGTTGAACTCCAACTGCTCCATTCACCGGATATGGTATAGTCGCACTATCGTTTATTCTGGTCTTTACAAAGCTTGTTTAATGCTGCGGAATTTAATACTACAGAGGTTTGCAAATTCAATGGAATTCATTGTTGAGGAAGATAAAGAGTTTTTCGAAGGACTCGAGAGACTATTCGACAAATGATGAAAGAGAATCATTTATAGAAGCGGTACGTGTGCACATTCCTCGATAAAAATGTTAATTTTCTGAAACAAGATCATTTTTAATCTCGTAAATTTTCTCACGAATTTTCCAAACGATAATTATCAAATTATTGTTTCGGGAAAAGTTTTCAGGTTTTCAAAAGAAGAAAAATTGAACGTTGACTTCCATCCAGAAAATTATATAATGACGGTATCTTGGAAATCGTCTTAAATTATTCAAATCGAAACTTGCGTTACCTACAGCGAACCATGAGAAGTTCAATATAAGATCATCACGCGGATCAGAAACTTTCAAACACAAAGGTCAACTTTCACCGTAAACGATGTATTTCCGATAACATTTCCCGCGTTCTATAAATGGATCTAAAAATAAATCGAAAGACATTATATTTACATATCTTTCACTTATGGTCTTTCTTCCTTCACAATACTCGCGCGAGTAAAAGCAAAGTGACATAATCGTGGCGAAAAAATATACGAGAGCGAAACATCGACTCGTACATAATAGTAGTTCGATATCGCTTTTTACAAAGCCCGGGCTTTTTACGTCGAGTGATAATTAGTCGCCTACGAACAAAGTTCAACACGCGATCTCCCACTGGTGTACAATACGATTCATGATATATCGTAATTAATAAATACTATTACGTAGCGTTAATTAGTCTGGACAAGTTAGTGCATTCATTTCTACGTAGTTGGTATTTAAATAATGTTCTATCGTTGAATGGAAAACTTTTATCGATTCCCTACCAGACTTCCAGTGCTTATCTTCGCATACCTTCTCGTGTCAATTTTCAGGAAAAATAAGTAGTTGTTAATTGTATTTTAAAACTGTCGAGTCACTGAAAGAGTGATTTTCAAAATGGGATATCGCAGTAATGTATCTCGGTAATTTTTGAATGTACCATGAGAATTTTTAATACTAAACATAACACAAGTTGACCATTTTGATTAGAAAGTATTGATCAGTGAAAGATAAAGCATACTATATACGAATCTTAAAAGAATTACAGTAAGAAGTAAGATATGTACTTGAAAATTGAAGAGTTCATATAAAAAATGACTCCTGCCAATATTTTTTATCTTAAAAAATATTCTCGTATCTATCATTAGTTTTTTATAAAATTAATGAATTCTTCCTTGTATTATAATAAAAGAAAATAGATAATTTTTTGATAATACCGATATCACGATGGCGTGAGACTTCTAGTTATTCGATAGCGTTATTACTTAAGAACTCGATAAAAATTAATTATAAACACAATCGTACAGTCGAGTGATAAAATTTTAGCTAAAGCACACGATACTATAATAACATACAAACATATAAAGACTACAGAATATTTTATCCAACGCTCTGTAACTATCTACATTGTACACAGTACACTATACTACACTGTAAATATTTGATCTAAGGTACTGATATCTTTTCCCTCAGATTTTTCCCAAATAAAATATTTACATCTAATGCAACGATAGCTCTTTCATATGATTTCAAATTACCTTTGAATAAAAGACAATCTCTCTTTGTACATCGACAAAAAGAATCATCTATTTTTCATCGTATCGCATCTTTAGTATTTACCCTTTTACAAATTAATTTTTAGTCATTCATTTTTCTTTCTTTAATAACTAGCAGAGTTTATAAATTTATAT